AAATTTATTTTATTTTATTTTTTATTTTTTTATTTATTTCGGTGCATGCAAGCTGCGTATACACCCGAACCCTTCATTATCTTTATCCTAAACCCTAAACCCTCAAACAAATAAAAATAAAAACAAATAAAAATAAAAATAAATAAAAATAAATAAAAATAAATAAAAGTAAAAATAAAAGCAAAATTAAAAACAATAAATACAAAAATGATACGATAACTGCTGCTGTTACTGCTGCTGCTGTTTTTGCTGTTTCTGCTGCTTCTGTTGCTGCTGCTGCTGCTGCTTCTGCTGCTGCTGCTTCTGTTGCTGCTGTTGCTGTTGCTGCTGCTGCTGCTGCTGCTGCTGTTGCTGCAGCCAGTGGAGCTCTATTTGTCTTTATTGCAGTAGGAGGGAACTTATAAAAAAATAATAAAAATAAAAAAATAAAAATAATAACATAAAAAAAATTAAAACAATAAAAATAAAAAATAATAAAATAAAAATAATAAAATAAAAATAATAAAATAAAAATAAAATAAAAATAAAAAAATAAAAATAAAAATAAAAAATATATAATAAGTAACAAGATAACAATATAGTATTGTAATAATAAAATATGATGATAGTAGTGAAATAATAAAATACAGTTGCTGCAGCTGCTGCTGCATCTGCTGCTGCTGCTGCTGCTGCTGCTGCTGCTGCAGCAACTGCTGCTGCAGCTGCTGTTCCAACTGACGCTGCAACTGCTGCAGCAGCTGCAGCAGCAGCTGCTGCTACAAGTTCTGCTGCTGCAGCAGCAGCTGCTGCTGCAGCTGCTGCTACAAGTACTGCTGCTGCAGCAGCTGCAGCTGCAGCAGCAGCAGCAGCAGCTGCTGCTGCTGCTGCAGCTGTTTCTGTTTGAGATACTACTTCTGTCTCCTTTTGTCTCCTTCTGTCTCCTCCTGTCTCCTTTTGTCTCCTTTTGTCTCTATTTCCCTCTATCTTTGTTTTTTTGTTTTTTTTTTGTTGCTGCATGCATCTGTCTACTGTTCCTAAACCCTAAACCCTAAACCCTAGACCCTAAACCCTAAACCCTAAACGCTAAAGCCGTTTTCGCTTGCATGCATTAACATATATAAAGACAAAGAAAAAGAGAGAGACAAAAGGAGACAAAAGGAGACAAAAGGAGACAAAAGGAGACAAAAGGAGACAAAAAAAAAGAGAGACAGAAGCAGACACAGAGACAGAGAAAAGGAGACAAACAAAAGGAGACAAAGAGAGACAAAAACAAACAAATATATTTATTTTATAAAAAAATAAATAAACAAATATATTTATTTTATTTCTCCTTAACATCTATCTCTTTCTTTATTATAAAATAATAAACAGTCTATATCTCTTCTCTCTCTCGTCAATACCTGAGGGGGGCCCCCCCTTGGGGGCCCCCAAATCAAATCTTCTGGGGGCCCCTAAACCCTCTACTGCGGGCCCCCGGGGGGCCCCCCTGGGGGCCCTAAATCAAATCTTTCGGGCCCCTAAACCCTCTACTGGGGGCCCCTAGGGGGCCCCCAGGGGCCCCTCATGGGGCCCCCCAAGAGCACATAGGGGCCCCACCTAGGGGCCCCCGAAGGGCCCCAGGGGCCCCCCTCGTAGGGGCCCCCCCTAGGGGCCCCTCTAGGGGCCCCTGGGGGCCCCTTCTTGAGGCGCGTATGGACCCCTTCTGGGGGCCTCTAAACCCTGTATTGGGGGCCCCTACGGGGCCCCTAAGGGCCCTTACTGAGGCCCCTAAACCCTCACTAAGGGGCCCCCAGGGGCCCCTCCTTGGGGCCCCTGAACCCTCGACTTGGGGGCCCCCCTAGGGGCCCCCAATGGGCCTCCTGGGGGCCCCCTAGGGGCCCCCAAAGGGCCTCCTGGGGGCCCCCCGGGGGCCCCCTAGGGGCCCCGAAAGGGTACCGCTAAGGTTTCATAGGGGGCCCCCTCTGGGGCCCCTCATTGGGGGCCCCTTGGA